GCCTGCAGTGCTGCATTTAACCACTGCGCCACCTTGGCTCTATGAAAATTGCAAGAAACAATTTCTGTTATTTATTAAAATAGGATGAAGTATATAATTGTAAGTAATCCAAAAGCAAAAATGCATTGGGATCTAACCTTAAAACAAACATTACAAAGTTTCTTGTAATTGGCAGAATCACTTTTACATGAAGTCAGGTCCCAAAGATATTTGGTTATTGCCTACATCCAATCGATGCCACTAGAGGGGGCTGGGCAGAAATCCTGTGCTCTGTGGAATGGGGAGTTAATTTTTGGCAAAAAATCAGGATTCAAACGAAGAACGACTGATTGGGATGAAAGATGCCCTGGATAACAAGGCGTTTAATTTCAATATGCAACTGGTGGATGTGACCGGCACTAGGAAGACCACCTTGAGCATTAGATACTACATGCTGACAGTTCTCAACGGCTCAAGAAGCTCTTCTGTGAGGACCTTAAGTACCTGAGGTAGATCCTGCGTGGGGAACCTGTGAACCACCTGAGATTAGCCGCCCCTCTCAGGAAGTGTTTGATGAACTGATGTTGAGTTAGGGAATGGTTCCCTTCATCCCCGAGCATGATGGAGAGAGCCACTATCTGCCTGCAGATGGTGTTGTGAGAAAGGCCTTTCTCCAACCCATCCTGCAGGAACTCTAGGATTTGTGGAATAGAGGCTAAAGCAGGAACCACTTTTGCTCCCCTAAACCATGTGGTGTTATAGATTTGTGTGGTGGGCTGCCTACACAAAGCTTCAATAGTCCCGATTACTCTATCTGAAAAGTTGGCTGCCTTTAGATGTTCCCATTCAAGTGCCAGGTGGTCAACTGGAGCCACTGGGCTTCAGGTACAACAGGACTCCCTGGCATAGGGCAACCTTCTCAGGAATTCTCCAGTGAGCGGAGATCGAAAGGTCCATCAGATCCGCAAACCAAGGTCTGTGGGGCCAGAAGGGCGCCACTGTGATAATATCTGTCCTTTCCATGACCGCCTTCCTTAGGGCCCCGGGAATGAGGACAAAGAGTGGGGAAGCGTAAAGGAGACCTTCCAGCCATCAGCAGCATAATCCATCTACATCCTCTGCTCCCGGAGCTGGGAATAGGAAGATGAATCTGGGGAGCTGGGCGTTCGATGGCAATGCAAAGAGATCCATAAGTGGCTATCCAAACCTCTGACAAATCAGGTGGAAGAGTTCGGGTTGGAATTGCCACTCGCCGTGGTCAATGGTGGCCCTGCTGAGCCAAAGAACTTGCTCGTTCTCCAGTCCTGAGATGTGCTCTGCAGTCAGGGACAAGAGATGTTGTTCCTCCCAGGGTCCCAGTTTAAGTGTCTCATGCCAGAGACCCACAGAGTGAGTTTCCCCGTTTGTTTATGTGGGATCTAATGGCCACATTGTCTGTCAATACTAGCAGGTGGCAGTTGGAGAATTGCTCCACAAAGTGTCAGAGGGCTAAGTGGACTGCTCTGAGTTCTAGCCAATTGATATTGTGTTTTCAGTCTGACGGAGCCCATTGACCTTGTTCTAGTTGCAAATATAGCAGAGTCCTCCAGCCAAAGAGGCTCGCATCCATAGTCAAGTTGAGCCTCACCAGATCCTTCAAGACTGAGCCCTTCCATAGAGCCGGTGTCCAACGCAGAGATAGGAGAACTGGGGTGGAACTTTGATCTTGAATGAAGCAAGATGCTGTGCTGTTCTATTGATGAGGAAGCAGCAGCCACTGTAGTGTCCTGGTGTGGAGGTGAGCCCACTGCACTATAGCAGTGCAGGAAATTATTTTCTCCAGCAGCTTGGACAGAAGCAGAATAGGAACAGACCGCTCCCCATGGACCTGCCTGAGCAACTCTACAATGCCTTCTCTATGCTCAGGGAACAGTTAAACTTTACTCTCCATTGCATTGATAATAGCTCTCAGGTGTTAAAGCCTATTTGAAGGAACTAAATGGCTTTTATCAAAATTCATGGTGAATCTGTGAGACTGTAAGGTTCTAACTGTTAGGAATAGATGAGTCCTTCTTTGCTCGGATGAGGCTGCATGGACCAAAATATCATCCAGGTAACACTGTATCCTAACAGGGACGGCCCTTAGGTATGCAGCCAGGGTAACTAGAATCTTGGTAAAGGTCTGAGGAGCTGAAGCGAGACCGAAGGGAATAGCCCTATACTGGTAGTGAGTATCCTATAAGAAAACCTCAGGAATTTTCTATGATCATGAGAGATCATAATGTGGAGGTATGCTTCCGTGAGATCGACTGAAGCCATAAAGTCCCCTCATCTAATTCCCTCAAGAATGGTTTTCAAGGAAACCATCTTGAATCTCCTATATACAATGTGGGAGTTCAAAGGTTTAAGGTTCAAAATTGCCCTCTACCCCCCCCCCAAACTCTTAGAAGCCACAAACAGGAGTAGAACCCCAATCCCTCCTGGTCCTTAGGGACCAGCTCAATAGCTGAATATCAAGAAGGTGTTGAATTGCCACCTTTATGAGATTCCGCTTGACCTGGTTCCTCAGGGAAGAGAAGACCCAGAACCTATTTTGGGGTGGGAGATAAATTCTGGATGAGGACTGAATCTGATCGTGCTGAGAACCCACTGATTGGTGGTAATGGGATCCCATACATCCGCAAAGAGAGGCGGCTGCCTATTGGAGGATTTGCTCCCGAATCACTTGCCTCTGTAGAACGGGCAACTACCTCCTCTTCGAAAGGGCCTCTTAGTTTGGAGCTAGTATCTCAAGGATACACCCTGTCCGTCTGTCTATCCTATTGTCTATCACTAGGGGGAGGAAAGTACCTGGATTGATGGAATTCCTGGTCCTGGGCCCAGAAAGAAGGCTTACGGTAATACAGAGCCAGATTCTGTTCCGAACACTTGGTCACCATGGGCAATACCTTCTTTTTATTCTTGTCTTCAACAAGACTAGGTCCAGGGATTCTCCAAACAACTGCCCCCCCCCCCGAGAAGGGAGAAGCTGCCAGCCGCCACTTGGACTTGGCACCTGCCTGCCAGTTATGAAGCCATAGGAATCTTCTAGAGGTCACCGAAGTTGCCAAGGCCCCTGGACCCGTACTTCACCGCGCTGAGTGTGGCATCAGAGGAAAACTGTGGTGCCACCATCAGCTTACTCAAGTTCTACTGCAATCTAAGGTCATGTGAGGGAATATGTTCCTGCATCTGACATAGCCACAGAAGAGTGATCTGGTTAAAGGATGAGGTTGAGGCAACCACCTTAATGGCACAGGATGCAGCTTCAAATGTCTTACATAAGATAAGTTCAGCCTTTTTATCTTCAGCTTTGAAGATAAAGTTATCGGCTATGTCCCCTGATACCAGGGATGAGGACGAGCCCAGTGCTGCCACAGGGGAATCTATAGATGGTATTTGGAGCACATTAATCCAAATTAATGCCAACCTAGGTCATCCGCCAGTGCCTTTGGCTTCCCTCCTCTGATGGCGAAGATGAACTGCCACAGAGTGTTAGAGGAGAGGCAAAGGGGGGAGGCGTAGAAGAGGAATGGAGATTTTTTTAAAGGAACAATTCGCAGGAGATAAAAAAGGTGTCTCACTTGGTCCAGACTGAGTTGAAAGTGGAGCCAGGCGCAGGAAGCAGAGAGGCGTGGCTTCAAATTTAACTTAATCTGTGGACAGATTGGATGTGAGAATAACTCATTCCATTCCTGGACCCTTCCACAAGTGACTAAGGAGACAGAATTTAATATAAATTATATGGCAGCAACCGCTGATATTCATGTCTCTCTCTCTGACCTATGTTCACTTAATAACCATTTCACTTAACAATAGCGCAACTCAGCTGCTAAATGAAGAATGGTTGCAATACTGTAAGTATTGACAGAATCAACATAATTATATGAGTAAGAAAAAAAGCCTTTTCCTGTCATTGAACAATAAATAACTGTTACTCATATTAGACAGACATAATAAATATTTCAGGAATGTACAGATTTAGTCTTGAATGAAGAGTCATTTGCAACATAAAATATGCTAATTTGAATAGCAATTCTATATATTAAAGGGCATGAAAGCTACATAAATTAAAAATTGTTAGTATGTTACTGAGAAAAAAAAATCACAATTAAATCAGTGTATGCTTGACATTTAGTTTTTGCCTAAATTATTGGAAGAAACAACAGCTCAGCTCCTGAGATACATGTGAAAGAAAGGCTAGATTTTGCACAAACAGAAATTAGTGCAAACAAGGGTCTTCTGTTACTTGTTAAAATGTGTTCAACCATTGTGCTTACTGATTTAAACAGAATTGTTTTGCATTCCTGCTCTCATGCAACCATCTAGAAATATTTATCTATTGATGGAGTAAATACTTCTTTGTATATGAGTGTAGTATCTATAATCTATTAGGTTTATTCAGGAATGTTGAAAATGGTTCTTCAGTTTATGACATCATTTTGATACCTACCTGTTCCACAGACATAGCTTTAGTCTCAGAGGAATGAGTGTCATCTACGTAAAAACCTGCCCCGGCAATAACATGGACACCAGTTTCTTCTGAAAGCTGTTTTAGTATCTTCACATCTCGCATGATCCCACTGGTTGTATTTTCCACTATGCTTCCACCGCCTGCAGCCTTGTAATGAAGGAGTTCTTCTCTCACAGCATCTGTCTCTTCATACAGTAGAAGATTTTCTTTGTGGCTGTAAGGATTCTGTTTAAGCCAAAACAAATTCTTCATCTCAATGGGTTTTTCAGCAAGAGCTTCTTGAGCTGGAGGTGGTGGGTAGTAACAGCAGCTGAAGCCCATTGTCAAGTGTTCATGGGTCAACGTGTAGCCCAGTTGGCTAGGCTCTATCAGGCCCAATACAGTCTGAATTTTACCTTTCAGCAAAGACATTTCTTGCTTTATTGACTTAAAATATGTTTTCTAGGGGAAAAGAATAAAAAACAATTACATGCTATCTTTGTTATGCATATTAACAAAGACACTGTAGGCACATGCAAGAACTTATTTTAAATATTTTTCTTCTATTTTGCTATTAAGGGGAAACTCCCCCCCCCCCGGACTTTTATGAAAGTAATGATGAATTTTATTTATTTCACTGTGGATTCTAGGGACTTTAAAACTATTTTGTCATATGCAGTTCCAAATATGGTTTTAAAATATTTGATAAGATTTCTGGAATCTTCTGAAGACTGAAAGATAAATTACAGTCAGGAAATATAGCTGCTGCTAATAAATAGATATATGTATGTTGAATTTTCCTTCATACATATTGCCTATACATTTTGAAATACTCACTGGTTGTTTCAAAAGCATCTCTGAAGCATAAAAACAGCAAAGCTTTACAGTTCATAAAATGAAATAAATAGTGAAAGTGATTCTGGTTTTTCCCTAATCATAGAGTCTTGAACTCAAAATTCTCAGCTTATACTGATCAAGCACACCACAGATATTTAAAAGGCATCAGCAGTTAACTTATAGCTGTAATTGTACAATTGTCTACCTGGGAAAAGAATCACAACTGAGAGAGAGAAAGGAGTATAAACCATCAAAATAATGTATTGCTAAGGGAATAGAAGGAATATATAAACACAGTTTAAATACTTTTTTTCTAACTAGAAGCAAAGTATGTCATATATTAAACTAACTGACCAACCATTTTTGTTGCAGCAAGTGAATGATGCAATAACAAAAAATAAAGGGACATAGGAGGATCTGCATAGTTCAGGAACGCAAAATCCTGCAATAATCAAGGGGAACTGAACAGGCAGAGAAAATATTCAGCAAAAAAACAAAATCTACACTTTTCTTCTATGCAGGAGATATTTTCAAAATGGATACAGCAATAACCCAGATGTGGATGAAGGATGAATTTTATAAACAACATAAATTATAGCAAAAAGTGGCTTCATTTCTGAAAAGTCTAGAACTTCTTTTATTTCATTTCATTTCCATTCTGCTAAATGAAAAAGTCTCGAAGGGATCTTATAGTACTATTAAACAAATTTAATTTTAATTTTAAACAAATTAAATTTGTTTTATTAATACCAATTAAATATTGAACATTTACAGTAGAAATGCTATTAGTTAAGACATAACTGAAAACAATAACAATAAACCAGCACAAGGAATGAGGGAGTCATCTAAACCTTGACTGGCTATTCCCCAGGATTGGTGCAGCCACCGAAAAGACCTGCTTCCTCCCTTCTATCCCAAAATCATGGGTGAGGGGTGGGCAGGAGAGCAAGGATACAGTTCAGGCCATCCAGGTTTAAGTACGCTGATTGGGTAGAATCTTTGTAATTTTTACAAAGTTATGGAGATCTTTATAGGTAATTATCAACATATTAAATTGGAACCAAAACAAACAGGCAGCCAATATTATGCTCATAGCTCTGCAGCACTGGCAAATGGCTTCATTTATCAGCTTCTATACCTTCACATTCTGCTGAACATCCTCAAAAAATAGAGGTTGTTGTTGCATTCTAGAGCTAAGAAAAACATCAGTTGTTGTTGCCAGGGTCCGGTTATATATATACAGTACAAGCAGAAGCCATGAACCAAGAAACAGATTATGGGTCAGCATGACTCTGTTTAAAGCTATCTGGGATTCAGATCCAATAGTTTTTGGACAAAAAATAATTTGGTACAATTCGAGCCAGTCCATAATAGCCTGAAGTTACTGGATAAGGATGCTGAAAACATTAATTCCTCCCACCCTTTTGTTGTAAGCAATCCAGAAGGAAACCATAATTGATAGTATCAAAAGTTGCTGACATTTCCAACAAACTAGGACAGATCCTAACAAACGTTATGCATAAGGCTGAACAATTCACTTCAATACCATATATGACTCTGAAACCAGACGATAAACAGTAAAAAAAAAATCAGTTTTATCCAGTGTTCTCTATTATTTTCTAAAACCTTTCTTAAACATGGAAGTTTGGGCATATAGGCAGACTTACAACAGTTCATTTAGTGACTATTTGCAGTTACAATGGCATTGATAAAAGTGACTTATGACCATTTTTCACACTTACAACCTTTGCAGCATCCCCAGTGACTTGATCAAAATTTGGACGTTTGGTAATTAATTCATACTTATTATGGTTGCAGTGCCGCAGGGTCATGTGATCACCTTTTGCAACCTCCCTGCAAAGTTAATAGAGAAGCCAGATTCGCTTAACAACCTTGTTGCTAACTTAGGAACTGCAGTAATTAACAATTGTGGCATGTAAGGCTGTAAAATGGGACAAAACTAATTTAACAAAGTCTCGCTTGAGGTCTATTATGGTCATAAATCGAGGACTACCTGTAATGCAATATGTCTAAATTTTTATTTTCTATTAGGCCAAATAAAGAGACACTAACCGCAGAGTACTGAGTCTGTGTTGCTAATTATAGCAATTTGTGTGCTTAGATTTGCCAGTTTATCCACTTAAGTACTGGAGTCTGGTGGCAGGAAGTTACTAAATTAAATATCATTGCTTAAAAATATTGAACATCCATCAGATTGCTTATTTCCCTGCATATTTTAGTCACTCATACATGGTGACTAAATTGTGTGTTTTTTTTAAATGGCTTTCCTTCTTTGGAATAGAATTAAGAGTGTCTGAGAGCAGACAATTTACACATTTGTAAAATGAATAACATTGAAGAACCAAACAATATTTAATAATATAGCAATTCAACAAGAACACTGAGAAAAACAATAGAAAATAACATTGATCAAAAGCACAAAATAGCTGAAGTAACTTTTATAGTGTACTTGAGAACTTAGTCTTACAGAGGAATTAAATCCAATAGGTCTTACTCATGACCATTTTTAAAGACATTTAAGACATTTTATTAAGATTTATAGGCCGCCCTTTTCCCTGAGGGGACTCAGGGCGGCTTACAATCACAGGGAAGGGGGTGCAATATCA